AAAAAAAAAAAAAAAAAAAAAAAAAAAAAAAAAAAAAAAAAAAAAAATTAACCTAGAAACCATTTTTCCATTTCCTTCATTTTGGACAATTGGTGCACGGGTAGGGGTGGGTGGAATTAATTTTCCATGACAAATAAAACCTATCAAACAACCATTTTCATAAAAAAATGAGGAAAAAATGGGCTATCAAACATAGCCTGGGTAAATTTAAATTTCTTTGTACCTTTTAAATGGACATTCTTCAAAAAATAAAATATTTTTTATAAAATAAAAATTAAAAAGTAGAATCAAACATGGACAGAGTAAAGTACCGAGTAAGTAGTCAATTCTAGGATTCCCGAATTGCAAAAGACCATGCCTTAGCACGTGACTGGCTCGTTTATCACAAAAGATCTAGATTAGATCAAGAGCTTAAATGAATTATAAAATGACTTGACACAGCTGTAGTATCTTTATCAATAAAGTTATTTGTACAAAGTCGAGTTACAAAAATTAAGTTACAAAGTGTGTTGACAAAATTCAGATCGACACAACTATAGTATTTTTATGGATTAAGTTATTTGTACATTACATCTTCTTTGACATTGCATGAGGTAGCAAAATCAAGATCATTGATTATTTTAAATGTTAAAATCAATGATAGAAATGAATGACGACACAATGTCGAGAAAAAAATTCGTCAATGACCACTCAACTTTATATTTAATATCACCATGACCACTCAATTTCATATAACATTTCACAATAACCATCCGACTTCTTTTCGTCCTTTTCGAATGGATAAAACGGTAACTTTTCATTATATATAAAAAAAATTAAAAACCAAAAATAAAATAAAAACTTATTTAAAAAAAGTTACTTTAAAAATAAAATAAAATTTTATTTTGAAAAATACGTTACTTAATAAAATAAAATAAAACTTATTTTAAAAAAAGCTTTTAAAACAAAATAAAAACTTATTTTGTTTTTATTTTAAAAAAATATTACTTAAAAATGAAATTTAATAAAAACTTATTTTGAAAAATAGTTTACTTAGTAAAATAAAATAAATTGGGTGATCATGGTGAAACAAAATCAAATTGAATGACCATTGTGACACTCATTATAAAGTTGGGTGGCCATTGATAAATTTAACCCTACTTAAAGAGGTACTTGAGAGTGTGTTTGGTAGGGATTTTTGGGGGAAGAATTGATTTTTGAATAGTGATATGATGTGAAATGTGTGGTTGAAAAAAAAGAAAAAATTATTGATGTGATGGAAAATATTATTTTATTGAAGAATGTGTGGTTGAAAATGAGAATTGATTTACTGTAGAAAATCAAAATTCATACCAAACAGACTCTGAATCTTTTTTTCTTTTTATATTTGTTTTCGCATTTGAACCGACTATAAATTATATCTTATTTAAATTTAATAAACTTTTTAATGATTTTACCTTTGAAAAATTGCAAGTCCTCCAAAATTTGAAATAATGACAATGAAAAAATTGTCGTTGTTTTGATATAGTTACTTCCATCTAATAAATGAATGTATTTTTTGCACCAAAATTTAATTGCATTTAAGTCACAATGGTTGCTTAATATAACATTTATATGCCCAATTTTTTTCATGCATTCATATATCATCAAATTTTCATTAATTAGATTATCTCGTCCATGATAAAAATTTATGTCCAATGACGACATATGTTTATGAATAAAAAATAATGATTAAAATTTGACCCGAAGAAAGTTAGGGTCATAAAATAAAGATTTGAAGTATGATGTAACAAATAAAAATTAGTTTTTAAATTAAAATTTTTTTTTTCTCATACTCAATTTCAACAACACATTAACACAATAAAATATTTTGCACGTAAAATCAATTTTTTTCTTACTTCTAATCACACATTCTCATTAAAAAAAAAAAAACCTATTTAAAACATCATTTTTTTTCTCAAATTCTCTTTAAAATGACCATGGATTTAGAAATAATAGCATCTAAATGCCATTGTGAAAAAAAAAAAAAAGATAACACTTTCTATTATTAATTAAAATTAATTTGTTGTGTCCAATAATAAGATAATACTTAAAAGACTTTGTGCGCACACAATATTTTGAATATGGATTGTAGTTAAAATTTCAACTTAAACTTAAAATTAGTTAAAAGAATTTGACAATAAATTATTTAATTTTTTAAATTAATTATATTTTGTGTACTTAATTTAACAATGTTAATTATTAACAAAAGCAAACTTATAAATAAAACTTCATACTTATAATCTAAAAAATGTTAAGGGAAGTATCCTCAATTAAGCCCTTGTTTGGTCTCAATTATTTTAAAAATACATTTTTCTTTCTCTTATTTACAACCACACATTTTTCAATAAAATAATATTACACTTAAATTCAAAATTTTTCCTTAATTTTTAGCCAAACATTCTCCATCAAAATACTATTTCAAAATACATTTTGGGCAAAAAAAAAAAAAAATGGGGCCCAAACAGGTTGTAAGATTGTGATGGATTTTAAAAATCTTTCTAAATTTAGGTATCTTCAATAAATGTAAATATGTTTGGTAACACCTCAAGATGTATGAAATTTTGGGACGTTATAGTTTGGTATCAGAGCTTAGAGTTATAAAATCGATTCTGTAGACATTTTTTCAAAAAAAAATTAGAAATTTTATGTTCGCTTTATTGTTAGAGTTTTGTTGGTTTGCGTAATTGCAAA